GCTCAATGTTGTCTCCACTCACCAAACCTGTCAACAATAAAAAGTGTTTTTTTTATTCGTGAAAGCAAGGTTGTCAAAATAATATTGCAAACACATTTCACAGCACTTACAATATATATATATATATATATATATATATATATATATATATATATATTAAATGTTGTATTTAAATATGCTGTTTTAGTTCCATCAGTAATTTGTTTTCCTCCATAAATAACGTACCTGTTCCCACAATGAGAATAAGTATGAGGCATCTGTCCATGTTGAATCAGATCAGCTCAGTTCTCTGTTGAGGCTCTCAGTTCTCTGAGCTGTAAGTCACTGAAGAACACACAGAAACACACACAGGAACTTCCTGATTTATAAAGGCTTATATACTTGATGTCTTTGCATTTGTCAGTCTGACTAATTTCCTCTCATTCCTCATGGACATGAAAATATTAACTGATGGAACTATATAATTTTTTTTTAATACTTTTTGACTTTCTCAGTTTGTGTAAATCCACTTGGGGTTCGGAGAATTATTATTTTTTCCATGTTCACACGTCTAGTACAATTATGTGGTTTTGGTTCAATTAATACAGTTCATTAATGCTTTTTTTCTTGATATACCTCAAAAGAATGTAAGTGAAGTGTGACAACATGCCCCATTAGTGGGGTACATTTCTAACATGTGAGGGGCACATTGTAACATGATCATATGACAGCTTAAAATGTTATCTGATCTAATCAAAAAAATATACAGACAAACTAAAATATTTTGTCAGTAAAATACAACTAATTAACTTTTTAATATAAAATAATGGAATTTATTTTTAAAAACAAATTTTTGAGTTTGACAAAAAAAACAGCTATACAGCATAGTTCAAAACATAATAATAATAAAAAGTTTCTGAACATTGACTCTCAGTCTTTATTCACCTTTTTCTCATGGTTTCTTAATATAATTCATAAAAGACATAGAGTAGAATAGCGTAGTTCTATAGGGGCACATTGTAACGCAGTGTTACAACATGCCCCACCTGTGCAACTGGGATTTAAATTCTATTTTGCTGCTGCTTGATCCAGTTGAGAGTCTACAGAGCATGTAAACTGGGAATCTTACCAGAATATTGTGTATTGCACTGTCAATAAATATAAAAAACCAAAAGATAATGGGCTAAAGATAATACAAATTTGTTACATTTAACAAGTTACATACCAAGAACTGCAGCCATTAAAAGCAAATTCCTCAACCAGATTCACATAGATTATAACAGTCTATTAAATATTCCAGTGCAGAAATGTTTGCAGATGTTACACACATACAGTGGGATCTTAAATTAATATTTCCCATTATCACAGATTATGCCACACTGGCATAATCTGTGATTTCTGAAATTACATTGTTTTTGTCAGATAAAAAAAAAAAAAAAGCCAAAGTGATGGCAGCTCCTGTTTGACCTTTAAGGTTTTTATCTTTTTTATCTTTTGAACTGTGGTAAAAATATGTATATTAATTTTATTGAAATAAAATATGGTCACATATGAATGTAGAAAACGCATGTGGTTTTGCATTTTCTACCGAGGAGTTTGAATTCTATTCGAGCAAGACAATGTCCGGTTAGTTTGTCAGTGTGAGACATTTAATTGTCAAGAATAATAGAAGTATTGATTAAACTAAACGTAAACTAAAAGTTTTGTCAATCTCCTTTGTCATTACATTTTAACATGCCTGTAATTGTCTTTTATTTTCTTTATGAACAGAGGAAGTTTTGTTGCAATCTGTGTTGTTTTTCAAATTATATTATTTCATTAAATAATTGTATACTAATAAAAGCAGAATATTTTATTTATAAGTTTTAAGTTCATATCAATTTCTTAACAGGCATAATACCACCTCACACAGGTGTTACCACATATTTTATTACATTAGATTGGGGTTTTGATTGTGGTTTTCACTAGATCGGTTCAAACTGAAAAAAGCTTCAGGTTTTTGTACGACATATTTCATGTTTTGTATCACTGGGCCACAACTCTCAGAGCACAATAATAGAGAGCTGAATCTGACAGACGTACATCAGTAATAGTGAGTTCAGTGGATGTGTGTGATGTAGTCGACTGAAACCGAGGGTCAGAGGTGTGTGCAGCACTATATGATCGTGCACCTTTGCGTAATAAATACTGTGGTTCTCTGTTTGGATACTGTCTGTACCAGTAAAGCCAAATATATTCACTACTTGTTGTATATGAGCAGCTCAGCTTGACAGTTTCTGTTTCTTTTGAGTTTTTATCTGTCCCTTTATCTGGCTCAATGTTGTCTCCAGACACCAAACCTGTCAACAATAAAAAGTGTTTTTTTTATTCGTGAAAGCAAGGTTGTCAAAATAATATTGCAAACACATTTCACAGCACTTACAATATATATATATATATATATATATATATTAAATGTTGTATTTAAATATGCTGTTTTAGTTCCATCAGTAATTTGTTTTCTCTCCATAAATAACGTACCTGTTCCCACAATGAGAATAAGTATGAGGCATCTGTCCATGTTGAATCAGATCAGCTCAGTTCTCTGTTGAGGCTCTCAGTTCTCTGAGCTGTAAGTCACTGAAGAACACACAGAAACACACACAGGAACTTCCTGATTTATAAAGGCTTATATACTTGATGTCTTTGCATTCGTCAGTCTGACTAATTTCCTCTCATTCCTCATGGACATGAAAATATTAACTGATGGAACTATATATTTTTTTTTTATACTTTATGTAGTTATTTAGCAAGCTTTTTATATATTATATTTCCATAATTTGGAAAAAGCAAGAGTTCTGAATATATTCTCTATATATTATAAGAATCATTTGAGATATTTTAATGTTTTTTGTGACATTTTATTGAATTACAGGATATTCTAAATTGATTTGTCAAGGACAATAGACAATATTGTGTTTTAATGTACTTCATATTTATATTGCCAAAGATTCACTGACTTTAGAATCATCATCATCATCATCATTTCTTTATTCAGGACATACATATAAAATGGTCCATAGCACTATACAAGATAAAGTATACAAAATAGAAAAAAAGATAAAAAATTGTAAAAAATGACTTCACAGTCAAAATTCCACAATACACAAAAAAAGTGTTCAAATATTGGCATATAGACTAAAGCGCCAGTGATTCCACAAACCCGAAGTGACCCTAACTGCACTCAATGCAGGGTTCACTAGTGTTGCGATGATGCTGTAATGTGACTCCACTAGTCTACACATACATCTGTACAAGAGATTCCTGAGTACAGCAGGACACGTGAATACATTGACACTTACACACATTTGGCACACACTGCCCCCTCGTGGCAATTTAAGCAGCAGCCTCAAACCATCATTATATGCCACCTTGAGTTTTTGGATACTGCTTTTTTTATAGCGCCGCCACAAGTAGGCAGTGTACATCGGAGTACAAAAAGCTTTAAAAAGTGTATTCTTCACAAAAAGTGAGCACATACTAAATTTGCGATTCAGCATATTAGCTTGTGCATACAACATACAATACTGTCTATGAATGTCCCTATCATCAGACAGGTCATCAGTTATATAATGTCCTAAGTACTTGACCTCATTACACACTCTAAGTAGAGTACCAGACAGATAAAAAGCAGGAAATGAGAGTTTACTGTCCTCCCTGCTTCTAGCAAACATTATATTACTCTTCTTAGAGTTAAACGTAATATCAAAGTCCAAGCCGTATTGGGAACATACCCTTAGTAGCTGTTGAAGGCCAGCACTATATGGACAAAAAATGACCAGGTCATCCGCGTACATTAGGTGGTTGATAATGGTGTCCCCAACCCTACAGCCTGTTCCACAACTGTTAAACAACTTCGATAGGTCATCCATATAAATATTAAAAAGAATGGGAGACAAAATGCTTCCCTGCCTAACTCCATTACTTATATTAAATGAGGCAGACATAGAGTTACCCCACTTCGTATACATTGACTGATGAGCATACCAGAAAGCCAAGATTCTCACTAGATATTTGGGAGCCCCTCTGTTGTACAATTTGCTAAATAGCTTCTCATGATTTACCCTAGTATCAAAGGCTTTAGAGGCATCAATAAAACACAAAAAAAATGTGGAACTATGCCTGTTATACAAATCTAAAACCTCCTTCAGGGCAAAAATACACATATCAGTGCCATGTTTAGGTTTGAAACCAAACTGATTGTCAGAGGTCAAGACAAAATGTTCCAGCCTATTCAGAATAATCCTCTCCGAGACTTTGGATAAGATACTGGCTAGAGCTATAGGCCTGTAATTATCCACGCTATTAATCTTACCCGCTTTTTCTTTAATGATAGGCACTAATGTGACAGATAAAATAGAATCAGGTAAAATACCATGGACTAACAGCCCAGTGAAACAAATAGCAATTAGCGGACAGAGTTTTCTACTAGCAAATTTCAAATGCTCCGCAGATATCTCATCCATACCGCATGCCTTATTATCCTTTAGCATCATAATTGCATCATATATTTCTTGAGGTAAAACAGTTGTATCTTCATTACTATCAATGTCACCCAACGTAAACGACTTACTTTTAACACAGTTAAACAGCTCATAATGTTTCTGCCACAACTGAGTAATTTCTTCAGAGCCATTAGCACCATCAATATTTGTTGGTAACGATGTTTTACAATTATTCATTCTCTTGATTTCTTTCCAGAAATCACAAGGATTATTATATTGCAGCTTCCTCGCCAGAGAGTCCGACCTCATTGTGTTTTCCTTCCTCTTAATGAAACGTAGAGCATATAGAGCATATAGCACAGAATGTTATTTTGTTTATATTTTTATCCTTTTTACAATAAGCTGATTAAATGATTTGTTTACCTTTATTTTGGTAGCTACCTGTTTCCATTATTTCTCTGACATACATATTGTTGTAATTGGCAGTTAAAGCTTTTTTTTCTCACTGTCATTTGCTCTGTCTCTGATGTGTTTCTCTCATTGTAACAGGTTTTTGTACAGAGCTGATGTGTTTCCTGTGACTGTGGGCTGCAGAGCACAGTAATACACAGCAGAGTCTGACACTCCAGCAGAGGAGATCTCCAGATCCACATGGATTTGTTCTTTTTTTTTTACTTCAACAGTGAATCTTGGATCTACACCAGACACCCGAGCTTCTTTTGCACTTCCAAAGGTGAGTACAAGAAATTCAGGTTTTGATCTTCCATACTGCCGATACCAGTGGAGATAATCTGAACCTCCAGGAGAAAGACTACAGAATAATGTAACACTTGAACCCTCCTCATAAACAACATCTGTTTTGTTTGGCTCGATGACATTTCCAAAAACAGCAGCTGAAAAAACAAACATTTGTAAAAGTACATTTGTACATTTTTAGTGAGAGATTTAAAAAAAAATATATATCCGAAGTAACTAAATAAACACACCTGCTGAGGTACAGAACAGAATAACTGAATGAAGATCCATTGTTCAAGTGTTCACTGTGAGAAGAGTCAGACTGAATCGTTTCATCCTCAGACTCTTTCAGACACGATGAGATCATGTCAGATCTGTGAACTCTGAGTCCCTCCTCTCTGAGCAACATCACAACTTCTGTTCTGTAAATTCAATTCTGTTGTTCATTGTTGCAGTTCATTTAGTTATTGTCTGAGAACACTGCCATCTTGTGGCACGTTATAGCTTCCTACACAATGTGTTATTTGTACAAAGTACTTAAAGTATAGGTTCTTGTAGACTTGGTATTAGACTCATTACATATTTATCAAATGATTTACATAATTATTCTACTTTATGTACTGTGTTAATCACAGCTCTCTTAGTCTTTGTCTTTGTGTATCTTTCTTCTTTCACTAAATAAGATAATGAAAGGTTTTTGTACAGTGTTCTAGTGTTTCCTGTGACTGTGGGCCTCAGAGCACAGTAATACACAGCAGAGTCTGACACTTCAGCAGAGGAGATCTCCAGATCCACACGTTTGATCTCTTTTGTAGCTTTTGAATACAGACGAAGATCAGGCTCAGATTTGCCAGAATATTCAGTGACAAGAAGTAAAAAATCTGGTTTTGCTCCAAGATACTGGCGATACCACTGGAGAGTAACACTAGTGCCACTAGTGAGACTGTAGTTACAGGAGAGAGTCACATTTTCACCGCCAAAAACAAGTTTTTCTGAAGTAAATGGTTGTATCACCAAAAGTATTTCCTGTGAAAATGCAAATGACCCTATAATTAATCAAACAATTAAACATATTTATTCAATTTAAATATTTAAATATTATAAGCCTTTATATTTTTTATAATAAATATATTGATTGAAAGAATATGTCTTACCCATGCAAATTTGCATTATTATCCAGGTAAAGAGAAACATTGTGTCTTCAGACAGACAGCGATGAGAAAAAAAATAATATTTGAATAACTGTTTGACTCTGTCTCACACTCTCAACAGTGTGAATCTGTTCCACCCACTGGAGTGGTTTATTCAATAACAGTAGGAAAAAAATGTGCTGATGTTAAAAAGTCAGAGCTCTTAGTTCTTGTCAAGATGTTTATGTGTTTAGTCACAGTGGGCTTTAGAGTACAGTAGTACACATCAGACAAACACACACACATCCTGGATTGTCAGAGAAACTGAGCTTGAGGATTTGTTGAGATCTGCATGAAATCTTTCCTCAAATTATTTTTCACTGCTGCTTGATCCAGTTGAAAGTTTATAGAACATGTAAACTGGGAATCCACTGGTTTTATGTTGGTATCAATAAAGATATTGGTCACTGGTACTATACTGTTAGCCCGGATTTAAATTTATATCTAATAAAGAATTTAATTACAATATTATTTAAATTTTAAGTTGATTGCATTACTAATAAAATATAAGTATATTCTACTAATTTGTGGACATAATTTGAATGTGTGAATAAATGTAAGTTAGATGGACTCAAATTATGAAGTTTTTCTCCTGACCACGCCTTTCACAAAGTGGTTTGATTCTGCGAGTCAGGTAACACCATTTTGTCGTGGTGTGTGTGAATTCAAGGAGCTGTTGATGACAAGTTGGAACCAGAGCCGTTGAAAAACCGAGTTGCGACACTCCCATAGACCGCCATAGGAACTCTGGAATGCAGAAGTTACGCGTGTCGTGGAGCGGCCAATAGTTCCAAACACTGATAGTTCCAGCATTGATTTGAACCCCATTCATTTTCAGTGTTTCCGAAGTACGCTCACTGGTAAATGAATGAAATTACTGTATTTTTTTACTTTTACACACATTAGCCGACCTCTCGTGAATCTAGTCAGTAGTTATATTTTATGTAGCCAGTTTTAGTTATTGTTTTTTGGAAGATAATAGGTTAATTGCAGCTAGCTTCACTAACGTTACGGTAACCAGATGTATATAATATTATTAATAATAATATGTTATATATATATATATATATATATATATATATATATATATATATATATAATATTATACACACACACACACACACACAATTCATTTATTTAAATGGGTTAGGGTTATGTGTGTATATGCATATGTCAAAATGTGTGTTTGTGTAATACATATACATAAATACATGCATTCATATATATACATACATGCATGCATGCAAGCATATATATATATAGTATATATATATATATATATATATATAGTATATATATACATATATATATATATATATATAGTATATATATACATACATATATATACATGTGTACTGTACACAGTACGTATATATTTGTGTGTGTTTTCTGATGAATGGTTTAGTCTATGATTTGGGTAGGATGAAGGGGTAGCCATACTGAAATGAATCCCGTTAACAGTTATGGATCGTATATTAAATGTTATGGATCGTATTTAGGAACATAGTTAATTCACTCATTAACTATCTCTCCGGTTTCATTTTATGAAGTTAATATTTACCGAACATTGCTGCAAATATAGTCGTTACTTTCTACGTTATGGGAGCAGTCCATTTCCCTCTTAAATCATTCATTACAGGCACAGCGTAATTATTTATATTTTATGTTGGAACTTGTAATTCTGAACGGACCGCCACTGCAGACCTCTGTACGTGATCACGAAGGTAGGCTAATGGCTGAATCGGATAAGCAAGATTGTAATTGTAAAAAAATGAGAATACAAATGGATTAAACTACTTAATTTAGTTAGTATACCATGATTGACAACATGTGGTTTGATACCTTGCAGCAGCCATTTTGTAAAATTAATTTTTCATGAAAATTGTCACTGGTGTTACTGTCACTGGTGTCACCTTTCTTATGGGTAACACCAGTAACACCAGTGACTCCCATTTATAGATAAACTTTACTCAAAGCTATTAGTTTAGATTATATGCCAAATGTAACAATTTAGTCTCATCTACTTAATTATAGTTGAAGAATAATGATATTTGGTCTTATGCATGTCATTGGTGATTCATTGTGTCACTGGTGTTACCGTCTTTTTTTTCTGTCACAGTCACATTAAATACAATGCCATATGTGACATGATAATAATTTTACATCCATTTAATTCTGCTATACACTCAAAAGTTAAGATTTAAAGGATTGCATCATTACTTGATTTTAACTGGTTTTCAAATATTTTCATTGTTTTAGCAAATACAAGGTTGCGCAAATGAACTAACCTCATTCAAGCACACTTTTAACAAACCTGATTAAAATAAATAAAACATAATCTCCTTATTTGTTGCATTATTATTATTTTTTGGTAACTACATGACTACATGTGCTGAATTTAAAAAAAAATAATATTTCATAAAAACATTTAATATTGCCAAAGTAAGGCAGTGACAAAAAAAATGGTACATGCGATCTTTAAATAAATGCACAAAAAATATAAAAAATCATTAAGCTGTCATTTATGCATATTTATAAAGTCAAAGGGTAATCTAATAATGTGGTGTAAGTTTAAATGTTAGAAAAAGAAATACATTTTAAGACATCTTGCCATACCAAAAGTGGACGTTTCTGTAGAATGACCCATTTACCATAATTATGAGATTCCAGCTTGTAAAAAAGCGCTCTCGTAGAACTCGTAATTGCAACCTGTAAACTGAGAATTTTCTGAGAGCTCCTACTTTTACCACATGACCTTGTATGACATAGGGTATGACATGACATAGGGTGTACTGCTGATGAATAATTTAGCCGTGGATAGTGTTGCCTTTAAAATGAATAATTCCCAGTCAAAGAACATGAATTTTGTCATCTCGGAATTACAGTAATACGACTTGGCGTGAATGCAGCATATGACTGAGTATTCGACAACAGAATCATCTGACAATGTATTTGTCTATCTTTTTCTTCCGCTGTTAGGATGCAGCTGACAAGGACTCATACAAACTCCAGTGAGAATCCTCTGCGTCAATCAAGAAAGTCCTTGACTTTTCTCTGTGCACAGGGGTATTTTGTCATGCTGAAATAGTAAAGGACCCTCCAAAACTAAAGAGCACGCAGTTCTCTAGAATGTTATTGACAGAAATTATAAAGACAATTTAGATAAAAAGGTCTTAAATGGATAAATGTAAACTTACTGGAATAGCAAAGCCTATTACTTTAAAGTGATTTTTACATACTTTTAGCTATATATAATGTGGCTTTGTTTTTTGAGAACTATAGATTTGAGCATTGACAGTGGCTTGTCAGAATAAGCTCTATATAGTCACTGCCTTGAAAATAAACCCAACAATTGGTTAGATGTTGTTGGAGAGACAGCAGAGCCATTAACTCAATAGGAAAGACACGGTCGCTTAAAGAAATACAAAGAGTCCTAATATCTCAGCACAACATAGGCTTAACTGATCTCTCTCTGCTGGCTCCCTATTTTTAACCAATTATTTTAAGAATGTATAAAGTGCTTAAGGAACCACATGGAACGTGATATCTAAATATACTGTTAATGTTTCCCTGAAGTTTTTTAACAGGCCAAATTCAACCTCACACAGGTGTTACCACATATTGTATTATTTGGGTGCTGTATAGATAGTGGTTTTGATTGTGGTTTTCACTAGATCGGTTCAAAGTGAAAAAAGCTTCAGGTTTTTGTACGACATATTTCATGTTTTGTGTCACTGGGCTACATCTCTCAGAGCACAATAATAGAGAGCTGAATCTGACAGACGTACATCAGTAATAGTGAGTTCAGTGGATGATCGTGATGTAGTCGACTGAAACCGAGGGTCAGAGGTCTCTTCATATGCACTATATGACCGTGCATTTTTGAGTAATAAATACTGTGGCTCTCTGTTTGGATACTGTCTGTACCAGTAAAGCCAAACATATTCACTACTTGTTGTATATGAGCAGCTCAGCTTGACAGTTTCTATTTCATTTGAGTTTTTTTCTGTCCCTTTATCTGGCTCAATGTTGTCTCCAGTCACCAAACCTGTCAACAATAAAAAATAAATTAAAAAGATTTCTGAAAGCAAGGTTGACAAAATAATATTGCAAACACATTTCAAATCATGTTTCACAAGAATACAAATGATTAAATTAATATAAATGTAGCCTTTGGGGTTTGAGAATTAAAAACAAAGTAAATATTGATGTACATGATTTAATTAATCATTTAATAAATAATGTACCTGTTCCCACAATGAGAATAAGTATGAGGCATCTGTCCAT